ATATCTTCCACGGCAGATTATCAGCCATCTCTGAGCCAATTACACGCAGAGATGAGATTTAATAAAAGTGAGCCGACCTCCGTCTACCCATCATCCTCTGTGAATGTGCTTTTCGTGAGCCGCTGATTTGTGTGGCTCGCCAGTTCAGCCGAGGGCCTCTCACCGAGCTGCCAAACAAACTCAAGTGTGTCCGCTGTGTAAAAATGACAGAGGAACCATCAATGCTCTAGCCGAGGGTTCTCTCACATTCATAATCAGCTTCTGATTGGGGGAAAATGCCGCACTTGATTCCCAGGGTGAATTGCTTCTGTCTGAACTTGTGTTAAGCTGGTTTCTGCAGCTCAACTCCAGTGCATTGATACTCCTCACAGCTTCATTTTCCACTCCAAAGACATTCGGCCTGTATGGGGAGAGTTGAAGAACTCAGAAAATCAACATAAAACCAAAACTGACTCTATTTCTTTTCGTAAAACACATTCCTGCTTTTATAGTTAAAGATTTATCAGTGCATGTCCCTGTCCGGACCACAATCCAAGGCCACAAACCATCTTGTTATGGTTATTATGAAATTTTATTTAAAAGAATTAAACAATTAAAGGATAGGAATGCATTTAAAGAATAAAAAAGAAAAGTATAAGACAAGACTTTTTATTGTAATCAACTAAACTATATTTATTTAAAATATGTACACATTTACTCTATACTCTCATAATATGTCGAAAATGCAGAATAGCTAAATATTGCTTGTCACATTCAGTTGTCAATTAGCTATAAATCATGCATGATTCAGCTTATGATTTCAATTCAAAACGGTGAAATGCGACAAATCAATAGAAGGCGAGCGTGAATCTACCGCTTGAAATACTCGAGCTCGTGACAGCAGGATTGATTCTGATTGGCTGTCAAAGTTTTTATCGCTCATCAGCTGGAAAAAAAAAATTATTTGAAAGTGATTCCATCGATATCATTTCTCTGTGCCTTTATCGTTATAGTTGTGGTGTGGACTCTGCTATTCTTAAATATCGTTATCTTTATAGTTATTGCTCTTGGTGTGAAAAAGTGTGAGGTAAGATGTAAGTATCTTAACATTTATTATCTGACAACTGTTTTAAGATATAAACGTTAAACGATCAACAGTCATATATCCAGTGAAACAAGCTACTCTACTTTTTGTCAAATTTCGCCGTTTTGAATGAATATAGGCTTAATTATTTACAGAATTCATAACTTAATGTGAAAAACATTTCACCATTTTGTGATTTCGACATATTAGGAATATGAGTAAGAGTGAATGTGTGCATATTTGCAAATAGTCAAAATTTATTATTTAAAAAAAAAAATGTGTATATTCATTTTTTTTTCTTTCTCTTAAATCCTGTATATAATTCCTTTAAAAAAAATCCTCCAATGTTTATGACATGGTTACGGCATTGGCATATACACAACTAACTGTGTGGGTTTTAAACAATAGCTCTGCATAATGCTTTAAGTGTTTAAGTGAACTCTATAGTTATAGATCAACCCTTCTGAGATCTCAACCTACAACCTTTCAGTTAACAGCCCAGATCTTTATCCACACGATTCCCTTTAGCTGTACTGTACATATTAACATAAACACATCTGCTTTGCACTGTCAAAACCCACACGTTTACTTCTACAGTATATTGTGTAGAAACACAACTGATGCACGAATGAAGGTTTAAACATCTCGCTTCAGCCTGTGTTGTTCACGTCTGTCATTAGCTACAGTTTCCTCCAAACCCCCTGCAGATTTCCTGAAGCGAGACTTTCATGAATTTCATGATTTGCGTGTGCGAACAGCGTCAGAACAGAGGCAGATGATTACAGTCAGCTGACATTTCAAACTCCGTTGTGGATGTTTTCCGTCAGCGAGAGTGTTTAGAGAAATTGTTGGGTGCTAATGCACAGCAAAGCCTACACGGCCTCTTTCTCGCTCTCGTCTCCTCCTGTTGATATCCCGTTCGGAAGAGAGGTAATTTTCTTCCTGGCTGTTGCCATAGTGATTTGTGTTGCATGAAGGCCGTACATCTCTCAGGAGGAGGCAGGTATATGATTACAAGAGGAACAGAAAAGCCTCTTTTATATGATGACAATGTATGGTTTTAATCAGAAGGATTGAATATCACACAGTACTTCCTCTACGAGGATGCATAGAAATACCTGACGCCCTGAAATCTGACCTCCGGCGTGACTGGTCAACACATCATTATTAATGTTTTGGTTTGAGGGTTAAGTGTCTGTCTGGAAGGGCCATGCATTCACTTCGGTCTATCGATTGATGTGCATTTGGACTGGAACCAGTCACATTTTGGCCTGTGCATCACTCAGTCCCCTATAGAGACTGAAAGAGAGCAAGGAAGAAATTAGATGGCATGTTTTACCCTGTACAAAATGACACTTGTTTCTTTCTTGGCTGCTTGGGAAATGGAAATTTGTGGTTAGAAACATTTCCAGAGTAAATGTAAATATTCTAAATATATTTATGAGCCAGACAAGCTGTTCTAATGAACGCCGTAGGCTTTTGATTTTGTCTGTGCTGCAGTTGAACAGAGTAAATATTTGCTTTAGTAATAAACCTAGAGATCCTGTTCCAACATTAAAACAAGACAGAGGACACATCCAGAGTTTGGTTATATGTTTGGGCCCGTAGGGAAATAAAATCCCAAATGAGATCGCTAATAGCTCAATTGTTTCTCACTAATGAGATTTAAGACGTTCTGCTCAAGATTTTCTCCTGAAAAAAGTCCCTGAAATTTGTCTCTATAAAAATAACGGATCTTAAAGAGGGTTTTGCAGTAATGCTATAAAAAGCACCCCCCACCAAAAAAAAAAACTTGGAGAAATAATCCATAATCCATAATAACATCCCAAATGAGATCGCTAATAGCTCAATTGTTTCTCACTAATGAGATTTAAGACGTTCTGCTCAAGATTTTCTCCTGAAAAAAGTCCCTGAAATTTGTCTCTATAAAAATAACGGATCTTAAAGAGGGTTTTGCAGTAATGCTATAAAAAGCACCCCCCACCAAAAAAAAAAACTTGGAGAAATAATCCATAATCCATAATAATGCTTCCTCCAGTGAAAAAGTGCATCTCCTGTTGTCTCTCACATCAAATATTTTGTTTCGAGCTCTTTTGGTTTGTAAACGCTGCTTGATCTGTGCAGATTTCTCTCCTGATTCACACCAGAACACTTTTTTTCACTTGAGGAAACGTCATTATAGATTATGGACTTGTATTTTAGTTAAAAGTGTCTTAATGGATTAGTTTCAGCTTTTGTCTTCTCCAGATGTTAACTGATGGACTGGAGTGCTGTGGATTATTGTGATGTTTATATCAGCTGTTTGGACTCTCATTCTGACGGCACCCATTCACTGCAGAGCATCCATTGCTGAGACACTGATGCAGTGCTACATTTCTCCAAATCTGATGAAGAGACAAACTCATCCTAATCTTGGATGGCCTGAGAGTGGGGACATTTACAGCAAATTTTCATTTTTATGTGAACTGCTTTAACTTCTCAGATTTCCATTCTCAGTTTGTAATTCAATTCCTTCAATCTCAATTTATGTCATGGACATTCTTTTTTTTTTTTGTTGCTGTAGTGTTTTTTACTTTCTTGTGGAATTTTAGGAGAACAATCTGACACAAAATTAAATTTTAAATGAAAAATAAGGGCCCTTGAATCCTGTATTGTGATAGATTGCACTTCAAATCCCTCCTCAAGGACTCCTTAAGTGAAACTAGTGCAATAAAAAATAGAGAGAAAATATATGGAAATTGTGTGTGGGGGAAAATCTCTGCCATTAGGCTGATTTTCGCAGCTACAGTCGCCTGTATGTAATTATGTAGACAGAATTTTGCACTTGTTAGCTGTACTAACCTGCGACAAAATTAAAACTTTAATGAAAATTATAACGAAAACAAAATTCAAAATATGAATAAAAACTGTACTAGTAAATGGGGCTGCACAATTAATCAAATTTCTAATCGTGATTACAATTACGAATGCCACGATTACGTAATCGTTCAAAGCGGCAATTAATCATTTAAAGTTGTTTAAATTGTGATAATCGTAATTAATAAAGGGAATAATCGACAATTATGATTTTTGTCATAATCGTGCAGCCCTAATAGTAAATCAGTGATACTAAAATAACACCGTTATATGGGCAGTATTGTACGGCAAGGTCCTGTTTGTAATTTTATCTTTTTTTTTTTATTATTTTATGAGCTGATAAGAGCGATTTCTTAATCGTCTTAGTGTGCTTTCACACCTGGCCTGTTGTTTCAAAAATATGTGAACACTGCAATCGTGCTCGGATCCGCGCCAAAACAATCGGTCCGTGATCACCTGAACGAGGTGGTCTCGGCTCGATTGAAAACGAACTCTGGAGCGGTCCGGTTGTAGTGAGAAAGCAATCCGAGCCAACGGACCAACGAACCAGGCAATATCACAATTTATGATGGGTAATTACGTAAGTTCCGTGAAAAGCATTAGCTTTGTTGTTTTGCTAATACCTCAAAATTAACCTGTGAATGTCTGTGGGTGAGCACGTCTTTGCCATTCAAAAATCAAAGCGCACTTTTCTATTTTATAATGCCGTCTTATTGCTCTTTCATTGTAGTAAGTGCATTTTAAAAATGTTTTCCCAATCAATCCTGAACTCCTGCTCAAAATGATAAATTATTATAACGACAGCTACAAAAAAAACAAACAACAATAAGCCCGCGAAGCTGTTGTCTTTCCATCCTGACGGATGACAGCTAAGTGGAATCCTGGAAAATAAACCGTGAAACTTTGACCAATGAGACAACAGTTTACTCGCGCATGACTTGTATTAACAAATTTGGTCAGTTTAGAAACTTTGCTGTGTGAAAGCGAACAAAAAGCAACATTCTTCCGAAACAGGGATTGAAATTATTACAAAGCAATCGATCTACAGGTGTGAAAGTACTCCCATCTTAAAGCAGCCTTGTGTGAGGTTTGTTTGATGATCTGCTTTGTTTTGTACTCTGATCTGATTTGTCTCTGGCGCCTCCTGCAGGTGCGTATGGCCCTGAAAAAGGCAGAGAAGGAACTGGAGTCTCGCAGCGACTGGTCTCCTCCTGAAGCCCTGCAGAAATGGCTGCAGCTCACTCATGAGGTGGAGGTGCAGTACTACAACATCAAGAAACAGAACGCAGAGAGACAACTGCAGGTGGCCAAAGAGGGGGTGAGCAGCGTTTTTCGCAGTCATTTTATTAGCTAAGATGAAACGGTGGTAAAAACATTTAGATTATTGATGACAGTTCAGCTTTGTTGTTATAGTACAACCCTAGAATGTGGTAACATACTTTAAAATGTTTTTAGAAATGTTACATGTTTAAGAGGATAATAGATTGCTGCTAATGTCAATTAAGCATATATTTAAATATCAGAAAATAGATTAGTTTATGTAATGTAAGGTTTCACTAAGATTTTTTTAAAAATGAAAGAAAACCTTATAGATTTGTGAGGTATCAGTAGATGGATTTACAATAATGTAATATAATAATAATATAAATTTATGTAATCATTTTCTTTAAAAAAAAATGTCTCATGGTTTAGGCAGAAAAAATTAAGAAGAAGAGAAATACTTTATTCGGGACGTTCCATGTGGCACATAGTTCTTCGCTAGATGATGTGGATCACAAAATACTTGCAGCCAAGTAAGTCACACAAACATTTCTCAACATTTCTTAATGGCAATTTAAAAAATCAATGAATAAATGGAAACAAATAACCCTTAATACGTACAGCTATAATCTTTTTGTCTACAGGCAAGCTCTGGGTGAGGTAACAGCAGCTCTGAGAGAGAGACTCCATCGTTGGCAGCAGATTGAGTTCCTAACAGGCTTCACGCTGGTCAATAACCCAGGCCTGCCCTCTCTGGCCTCTGCCCTCAACCTGGACCCCAGCTTCATGGGCGGCCGTGGCACACCCCAGCATTTCATGTCCGACGACATGGATGACATGGATGAGGACATAGTGTCACCAGGAACACTTCAATGTAAGGACTTGCCGGACAGCGATAGGGATAAGTCCCAGTCAGCCAAAGGCCAGCAAAGACCTTGTGGTGTTTTGACCAAATCCAAAAATCCCTAGTTTTTAGCTATTTCGGTTGTTTGTGCGCAAGTTCTATCAGAAATGGTTGTATGCACCGAGCGTGTTTGCACACTTCTCATTTGTGCTTTCTGCTGGAGTGTACAGGTGCTCCATCTACAGGTGTTTTACACAGAGGGGAGTACTTCAAGATCTTCACTACACATTGCTGTCACGTGTTTTTGAAATGGCTACTATGCACTCTTTGTACAGATCTTCATGTTAATTCATGTTAAATTCGATGGAGGGTCACAGAGTAGGCCAGAAGAAACAGGCCCATATGCGAGTTAAGTGCTCCAGTACAAGTCTGAAGTTGGTGTGGATTGTAATGCTCCATCTGAATGTGTGAAATAATGTTATCATCAAACAAGCTCTAAGAAAAGAGTTGTTTTCCCAGGTAAAAACGTGAAATAAAATTGGTGTTCATTGGGCAAAATTGATTAATTTTGAAAATTGTATTGCTGAACTCTTTTCACAAAATATCTTGAGTGCTGTTCTAACAAGAAGTATTCATAAGTATTTTCAGATAAGAACTAAAATCCTTGAAGTGTTTTATTTTAGT